CATTCTCCTCCATGCCGCAGCAGTGGTGGGTCCTGAACCGCGGGGAGCAGACGGCTGCCCCTCTCTCCTCGAAAAGAGAGACAAACGAGAGCGGAGCTTTTTCATCGAAAAATGAAAATTTTACAGGAGTCAGGACAGCAAGAAACTTAGCGAAAAAAAGAGAGGGAAGCTTTTCGATCGCAAACTAAACTACTTTTTTGAGGGAAAGCGAATTATTTTTCTTAAGGGAGTGCAAAAGTTTGAGATATTTATTTTCTTCCATCACCGGCCCTTTATGGGCTCCATATTAAGAATTTAAAAAAAGTGTATTAATTGTGCAACGACTTAGGCTACGTAAATGGTGCTTCCACTCAAGACAGATTAACTGTTTCAAAAGGTCAAAAACCTCCACACACAGCTGTTTCCTTCACACTGACTGCAGCTGCTACCGCGTGCTCAGCAGCTCACTGTAAGTGCGCACTTCAGTTTCCTAAAGGAAAAAACACACCGCCCGCACACGAGACCATTAATAATTGCCTATCAGTTGTAAAGTAATGTAATGAATACTACAGACAGTAATGTTCATTATTGCATTGGACTGAGTAATCTGACATGTGTTTGTAAATGAATGGCATCATGCTCTAAAACGCACACCCCAAACATAGTCTGATTATAAAAATATAATTTCAAATATACAATTCAAGATTAAAAAAGCTACCGCAGTCACAGCTTTTACTTCATTTACAAAATAAGCCTCTTTATGCCTCAAAAGTACAATCGTTTTAGAAAATTAAGTGATTAAGAGAAAAAAACTGTTGTCAGGTATGTATTTACAAATATTAATACATTGATTTTAAAAATATAACATTCATTTATCAACTTGGCTCTTGAAACAAGTTTCCAAAATCTTGGAAACACGGAGAGAGTAAACTTACCACTGTCTTATGTACTGTTATTTATAGCAATGGCATGTGTCTGGTTTTCCTCAGTGTTACTTATCCTTTCCAGAGCGTAAGTGGTGCTATAATTTAGCGTTTTTCTGTTCGTGCACTCCAGGTTGTAGGCTACTTGCACGTTTGTAGAAACTAAAAAGGATATTGTCAAGTTTTGTATGCTCTTTCTCTCTCCCTGCTCGTTTTGTCTATAAATGGCTCTCGGCACTGACCCTCCTCCCCACCTTTCCAAACCAAACTCAATTTATGGATGTTTCCCAAAGAGCACACGCGACTGGATTGTTAGTGCAGAAGCCTGTGAAATCATTCAGTGTCAGCGGCGCCCTCATGTGGTCATAATCGCAGAAATGTACCTTACCTGGCTGCAGAAAGGTTTTTTTTTTCTACCAGATGAGGTTTAAAACATTGTTACCTTAAAATCCTTAAGATGGCATCTACTTCCAACTAAAATAAAATACATATTTTACAGTGTCCTTGTTAAGTCTACATGTACTTATGCATGCCAACTAAACATGTCACCTTTACAAAGATTAAGGGTTTGGCCCTTACACCATTTGTTTTCATGGCATCCCCACCGACCTTGTCACCGACCCAACGAAATTGTAAATGGAAAAAAATAAATGATAATAGCCTATTACAGATAGGGCTGTCAATAGATTTAAATGTTTAATCAGATGAATCACACCCTTTTCTGTGATTAATCGCGATTAATCGCACACTTCATGAAATTAAGCATAGACCATTTATCTTGTTTCAAATGGTTATTTTGTCATCATTTGCTATATTCAGCAAAGTAAACCAAAAGATTTAAGGGTGATTCTCTGTAGAAATGTAGATGTCTTTCCAAAAAGGACTCCAAAAGAACTCCAAAAGGACACCAAAGAACCAAATGATTTATCTTGTTTCAAATGTTTATTTTGTCATCATTTGCTATATCCAGCAAAGTAAACCGAAAGATTGAAGGGTGATTCTCAAAAATCTATATTTTCTGCAAGCTTTTTTCAAGATACATTTTAGATGTCTTTCCAAAAAAGGACACTTAGAAACTCCAAAAAGACACCAAAGAACCAAATGATATAAGGAGCCCATATAAGCACATATGAAAGAAAAAAAATGCAAAAAAAATATATATATCTGAATTGTATATTATGTGTACAGTGCAACAGCAAATAGCTTTTTTACATTTTAGAGAAGTCAAGTTGCTAATCGAACAGGACCACATGGTGATGCCAAAAAATCCCTAAACCAACCGCCTGCTGGCTGCATCTACTACAGTACACACCCAGCAAGCAATTTTGCGTTTGAAAGATGTCTATTAGACGTCTAAATATAGCCTAGATGTCCAGGCTAAAACAAGGCTAAATTTGGGCTGTCAGTGAAAATTTAATAGACGTCTAACCATAGCCCAAGAATAGACTAGTCATCAAATAGACAGCTAATGAATGCCTACATATATACATCTAATAGACAACAAAATGGCAATCCATCCAAACAAACTAAATATACAGCTTTTATTAAGAAAAATAACATTTTTAACAACTTGGACAACTTAAGACAATACAAAATGATAAAAAATAAAAAATAATTAATGACAAAATAAAATTTTAAAATACACTTAAATATAAATATTATGATAAGAAAATCTACAATTTTTAACAACTTAAGATAATAAATATATAAAATACAATACACTTAAATATAAATATTATGATAAAAAAATCTTGAATTTTTAACAACTTAAGATAATAAAAATGAAAAAATACAATATTTTAAATAACTTAAGAAAATATTTAAAAGAAAAAAAAATCTAATACAAAGAGCATGCATGTTATCACACTTAACATTAAAACACGGACCCTTTTCACAAGACTGTGATGACGCGTTTAATGGTCATCAGCATCGTAAATATTTAAAAGAAAAAAAAATCTAATACAAATCAAGAGCATGTTATCACACTTAACATTAAAACACGGACCCTTTTCACAAGACTGTGATGACGCGTTTAATGGTCATCAGCATCGTAAATCCTCAGAAGTTTTTCATATTTGTATTTTTTTTTTTTTATGTATGTACATTTATAACACTATTCTTTGTATTATATCACCTTTGCATCAAATTACAAAAAAACAGTTAACGCTAATGCGAGGGTGTAATGCAGCGTTTATGGGAGGGACGGTAAATTTGACATCGTTCAGTCTTCTGACTGACGTTATCAGTCTCTCTCAATTTTTTTCCGGTTTACTTATTTTAACAAATAAAACAACCAACAGTGAACTTAAAGGAAATTATTAATTTTTGTTTTTATTTCTTGTTTAAAATGCTTCCCAACTGCATTCCTCAAGTCCAACTCTGTTGCTGCCAGGAAGTTGGTCATCACAGAGCATCTGCCAAATAAGAAAAAAATTAAAAAGCACAAGAAAAGCTTGAGATGATTTTTAAAATTTAATTACACTAATTGTGACAGGGAGTCATTCTCTTTTGCTTGGATGTCTACTAAAAACAAAAACGAGATATATATATATAGTGTATCACCATTCAGTGTGTTAAAAAAGAGAGAAGCTCTCTGGTAAATGTTGTGTTTTATACACATACCTCTAATGACCGAGAACAGTGCAGTCTTTTCAAATGCCTCTTTCTGCAGCGGACCATACCTCTGATGACCGAGAACAGTGCAGTCTTTTCAAATGCCTCTTTCTGCAGCGGACCACCCCCCTTCATGTTGAATTTGGACATGAGGGGAATATTTTTAAAACCCTGAATCTCGGTGCTGGATTGCGCATTTTGGTTTTACTCATGTTCGCAGGTTTCGCACGTTTGGAAAATTCCGCAAACATTTATTTAATATACAATGTAGGTTAGATTAGTTAAAAAAAAATTCACACCGAATATCAGATTAAGTCAATCATTTGAAAACAGCGTGAGTGGTTCAGCTGTACCGCATCTTCTCGCTCTCACTCTCTCAAAATTGCCTCACATCAGCGCATCTGGTCTGCACTAAGAGAGCTGCTGCACACTGCGATACAAGACTTTCGCTCAGCTGACAGAACTGTCACTTGCCTAATCGGGTCAGTGTTGCATCATCACAAAAGTTTATCATTTGCACATCTTTTTAAGTCTTTTTAAACCATTCGGTACTTGTGCGCTCCATAGATTTCTGGGCACTTACGGTCACATCCAAAGCGCCGAGCACACGAAGCCGCATCACAAACACCTCAAGAAAAAGTTATTGTTTCATTGTGACTTCATTTGATTGTTAATAGCCAACATGTTTTTTTTTATTCAGATTTAATTTATTAAATTTAAGAATCTGACATAAAAGGACACAGATATGACAGTAAATTTTCATAATAATATATCTCTTTGGTTTTTTCTGCTCAGTGTTATTTCAGGATTTTGATCTCCATACACGCATTATTATAACGGACTCACGCATGCTTACTGTATGACTCCTGTACGCCACCGCAGTCGTCTTTACCTTGATTGCAGTTTTCATCCATCAAAACTTTACTAGCGAGACTGATTATCCAGTCGAGAAAACGTAGTTTGTGGCTCATCTGGTCATACAGCGGTGGGATGCGTTGACAATCCGTTCAGTCTGTACTTCACACAGCGTGACGTGTGAGGGCTCGCGCTCTTCAGAGACAATCACAGAATATGACAGAGCTCGTGTTTAAAAGCGAAACACACTGGAATGTGAATGTGACTGAAAACGCAACACGAGTCTCTGTTCTCTCTGCAATCTCTGATGTAATCAGCCTGGTTTCCTTTATTAGCGCTGTTTTGGACGAATTGTTTGAATGCATTCGCTTACTGTAGGGTGCCTTTTGGTGTCCTGTACATAAATAACCAGAGGCGGACAGTAGTGAAGTATTTTTACTCTGCTGTAAAAGTACTTTTCAGGTGTCTGTACTTTATTTTTTCTTTAGAAAACTTTACTTCACAACATTCCAAAGCATAATATTGTACTTTTTACTGCACTACGTTTCATATTAAATATAATTTAATACTTAATTTAATTAGAAATCTATTACTTTCTTACTATTACTCAAGTAAAAGTCATTCAAAGATTTACTTGAGTACAAGAAAGTACTACATTTTTAATGTTCTTAAGTATTAAAGGTAAAACAAACAACAACTTTTATTTAGGAAATGAAGTGCAGTAAAAAGTATGACATTATGCTTTGGAATGTAATGAAGTAAAGTTTTCCAAAGAAAAACACTCTGATAAACTACAGATACTTTTTAAATTTACTTGAGTAAAGTAAAAATACTCCACTACTGTCCGCCTCTGTAAATAACTCATTTGCCATGATAACTTAACATAAAAATTACTATGAAAGGGTGTGTTGTATTAGGCTAAGTTTTTATATTCATAACAAAAACATTACTTGGCTCTTTAGATACATTTTCTAGATGTTTTTTTTTGTTTTGTGTACGAGGATGCGTGCTATTTTGCTATGTCCCATGCACTGCTCATTAAATTTGAATGATGTAGAATAATGTAAAATCATGAAATTAAAAAAAAAATTATCCTATTAATCTTTTGTTAAAAAAGAGATTACTTAATTTGAGTGTATTGATTATTTGGTAATAAAAAACTATATTTGTATTTAATAAAAAAGAAGAGTTTGTCCATGTCCCTTGAATGGTTGTCCACCCTGTCGTAATGGGGAATCCGCCCCTTTAAGAAAACGCCATCCCCTTTAGTGACATCAGGGCTGCGTTCAGCCCTGACAAAACGGTGCAAAACGTTTTTTAAACGGAAACGGTGGTGCGTTGAACACCCTGTTCTGATGACGCAAGAGTTGCAACTATGGCAGCTGAGAAGGCCATTCTTTGTGTTCTTTTTGAAGAATTTTCGGAGCCTGATGAAATCGGTATAAATACGTGTTTAATACTGCAAAATA